CCCCAAAACCCCAAAACCCCAAAACCCCGCTGAATCAATTTGTAGACACAGCTGAAAAAAAATCAATAAATTATAATTACTTTTATTAGAAATAGCTTTATTAAAATGTCAGATAGTGAAGACGGAATGAGTAGCGAGGAGGACTTCCAATCCCATGTTCATCTCTTCAAATCCTCTCTCGATATTGGATCTCACTTTATAGATTATGAGCCAGAAAATGAACTTGTCTTTTACAACAGAGAGGGTACCCTGCTAGCTCAACTAACAGTCAAAAATGTTACAAGCAAAGCCTATGTTGCATTTTTCGTAAGTTATAAGTCATTCTTCTAGACATTTATTTTGCCTATAGATATTTACATCAGCCTCATATCCCATTGATATAAACCCCAAATGCGGATTCATTCCACCCTCATACTAGCAAACTGTAAATATAGGATGGAGAAGTGATCAGAGACCAGTAAGTTTCTAAATATATTTTTAGAGTTTGATTTATTTATATTTTAGGATGCAGATAAACTCAGTCACGCTATGTTCTTCGTAAAAGCTTTACCGATCAGTTAAGAAATGAATGTAAGGTAAAAGTGATTAATTTGAATAGGTTCAAGAAATGAACATGAACTTGCAAGATGTGTTCAACACTTACAATGTGAACATTCTCTTTACAGTCGCTGCTCTTCCCTCAAGAGTATCTCTTGGAGTGCCTATGCAACCACTAATTGGAGGAATCCCCTCTTAATAGCCACCAACTGCTTTCGTTCCCTAAACTTAATATAAATAACCAGGCTAATCCACTCAACAACCCCCTATGGCTAGAAAACAATTCGCAGATGAGGAGGAGAAAAGCAGTCAGGCAACAACCAACATGAAGATTCAATCGACTGGAAGAAGCGGCTCACAAAATAGAGTGAAGCCTTCAGTTGGTGATGGATAGCCTAAAGGCAAAGCAGGTGAAAATAATAGTATTAACGATCACCGATCAGATGGCTCAGGTGGTAGTTAGATCAATCTTGTATGAATGAGCTGAATTTGAAAAAGTTTAAACTTAGAGCAACTAGGATTAAATATTACAAACTATCATGAGTTTAATTATTATTTGAGATGTGAGAAGTATTGAAGAGAACTCATTAGCTCTTCTTATTTTATCATTTATTAATAATCAATTCACATTTATTCAAAATCCACTTGATGGGGTTTTGGGGTTTTGGGGTTTTGGGGTTTTGGGG